GCGATCGTCGTGTCCGTGACGTTGGCGCTATTCTTGCCCCACATAGCACACGCACTGCACTTGCTCAGCCGCAGGGCGGCGCTCGCCAAAAGCAAGAATTCGCCGCGGAACGATTGTCGGAGGGCTTCGCTTGCCGTCAAGCCCAGCACAAGAACTCACCGTCGATGTTAGAGTTTTGCGTGCGGAGCTCTGTAAATTCATCTCTCCTCTACATCCAAACGTGTAGTACTCGACTGATGCGGTCATACGCCGATGGGAAGACTCCGTACACGAGTCTTTCACTGCCCATCCACGGGCTGCAACACACTGATTCTGTGGCGTCACCCTGTTGACCTTGCTGAGCACGCCCAGGACTTTGGGATGGCTGTGGCGCGGCCTAGAGAGAATTCAAATTTGCTGAGCATCTCTCTCACACCCTGTGCACGAGAAGTACTCCTTCTTCACCCGTCGCCAGTTGAGCTGCATCTGTGACGTCGCCTCGCCAGCGCACACGCCCGTGGCCTTTGTCAACACGAGCTTGCGCACCTTGTGCACCTGAGAGTGCGACGGCACGCGTCGTTAGAGCGGCTCACAAACACCACGCATCCCGTCGCTGCGTCGCGCGCTCACCACATCACGCACGCGCAGCGGGTTCTCCTTCTTCCATCGCACGGTGCGCTCATCGTGCCGCGTCTTCGCCATCATGCCGATGCGTGCCGCCGAGCTCTGCATGATGGCCAACGCCGAATGCGTAATGAGGTCCTCGTGCACGCTCTCGATGCTCTCCTGCTCGCCGATGAAGAGGTCCTGCAGCTGGAAGATTTCCGTGCGGTACACGTGCTGCCGCTTGTACACCTCCTCGGTCTGCGCCACAAGCTGCTCTGCGCGCTCCTCGTCCTCCATGGTCGCAGCTGGCGCGGACGCGGACGCGTACATGGCTTTGTACGCCCGGAAGATCGTCGACCAGTACTCACGCCGCGCTGCCACGCTCAGCTCGCCGAACGCGGGGTACTTTGTCTGCCAAAGGTTGTTGGCCATCTCAGCGACGTAGTTGCGAACCGCATGTTCTGCACGCCCTTGCGCCGCACCCCGCGCTGCGCGAGACACATGCGCTGCCGCTCGCGCGACATCTTCGACATGTACTTGACCCCCTGCACCTCGCTCGGATACCTGTCAATCACCTCGCCGCCCAGCTCGACGAACCTATCCCACGACCGCTCAGCCGTCTCGAGGTGCTCAAGCGTCGCCTGCACGAGGCCATTGCCTTGCTGCATCGCTCGCGCTACCTCCTCCTCGACAGCCTTATCCTCGCTCGAAGCTTCCGCTACCTTTGCACGGGCAATCTGCACGGCTTGCCCTCGCCGGCCCGACGCCGCAGCACCACACTGCGCACGCTTCTGTCGCGCGCTCGCCTCGCTTTTGCTGCCCACGACGCCACCCTTCACGCGGCGTCCGCCGCGGTGGGCACCCTCCATGTGAATCGCCAGTCCTCAATCCCCTTGCTTGCCCCCGCGTACGTCCCGTGACATAAAGGCCCATATGTGTGTGACATTTTGCAACTGGTACTGTGACATGTCAATCGCAAATGAGACCCGAATGGGACCGGAACGAATATTGGGACCCGGGTCCCACTGGGACCCAGGCGCTCTCCTGCCGCTGGCGTGCTCCGCCGACCCCGACCGTCGGCGCTGCACGTGAGGCATAGCTACCCCAACGCCCTGCGAGCTTCCCCGCGCGCCCTCGGCGCCTCGGCGACCCCCCTCGCGAACCCTGTATTGTTACTTTTTTTTAACAGTAACCGAAGAAGAAACGCGCCTGGCAGGCCAGCAGTTCGCGCCGCCAATCGCAGCTCCCCGTCGAGAGCGTGCCGAGGCCGGAGCTAACCAAGTCGGATATGGCCTCGGTGGCGAGCGCTCGGGACTTCACGCCCGCGGAGATCGACGCGGCCGGAGGCACGCTGCGGCTGCGCGTCGACGCCGACAACGAGAGCGCCGTGCTGGTCCAGACTCGAGTAGTCACGACGACGGGCGACGACACTCGGTGCAGCGGTTGCGGCCTGGGATGGTGGGTTGCAGGCAATGAGATGCTGCTTTGCGATGGCCCGGGCTGCGTCGCGCAGTGGCACATGGCGTGCTGCGATCCTCCTCTGACGGAGGTGCCACCTCGCCCTTCGTGCACTGTTCGCTGATCGCGGCAGTCACTCCCTGCAATCACTCCCGTTCCTTTCCCCTGCAATCACTCCCGGTCCTTGCAATCACTCCCGTTCCTTTCCCCCCCGGTCCATCTCGACCGCTGATAGGTGCCCGACGGCGACTTCTACTGCCCTTCGTGCACCGCGGGGAACCAGCTTCGCCAGGAGGACTGCGGCGCGTGCGTGGCGTGTCTCGACAAGCCAAAGTTCGGCGGCAAGGGCGTGAGAAAGGCCCGCTGCATGCACAAACCAAAGGTGCAGCAGCGCCCGGGCGGCCGCAAGGGTGAGGGAGGCGCCGCAAAGCGGCCGCCGTCGAGCGAGGACGCTGCTGCGCGCCCAAAGCCGCCCAAGGCGGCGCGCAAGGAGCCGCCGAGGCCGCCACCCTCCCAGGCCGAGGAGGAGGCCAACTCGATCGAGAAGGTGCTCGACGCCCGCCCGCGCCGCTCCGCCGCCGCCGCCGCCTCTGTCGCCGCTGGCCCCTCCTCGCCGCGCTCCATCCTGCGCGCGGCGACGGCGGGCGGCGGCGCGGGCGGCGGCGGGAGCGGGCGGCGCGGAGAGGAGGAGTACCTGTGCAAGGTGCGCGGCCTGGCCCACGTGCACGCGCGCTGGATGGTCCCCGCGGACATCCGCGCCGACGGGCGCCTCTCTCTGCGCGCGCTGCAGCACTTTCTCTCGCGGCGCGACGCCGGCGCAGAGAGCGGCTTCAGCGAGACTTGGACGGCGGTCGAGCGGGTGCTCGCCGCGCGCGAACCCGGCGCCGAGCCCATCCCGCCGCCCGCGCCCGGCTCCGCCGCCGCCTTTGCAAGCGCGTCCACCGGCCCAGTCGAGACTGCTGGCTCTGCCGCCGCCCCGACCGACACCGCGACCGCCGCCGCCGCCGCCGCCGCAACCGCCGCCCCGACGATGCTATACCTCGTAAAGTGGGAGGGCCTTGGCTACGACGGCTGCACGTGGGAGCGGCCGGAGACCGCGGGCGCGGCGGCCATCGCCGCCTTCGAGGCGCGCAAGGCGCTGCTCGCCGCGCCCGCCACCGCGCCCGCCGCCGGCGACAGCGAGGCGGGCTTGCGCGCCTCGCTGCCGCCGCTCGGGAGCGGTGAGTCCGCGCGCCGGCTGCGCGACTACCAGGAGGAGGGGCTCCGCTGGATGCGCGTCAACCACGCGCAGGGCCGCTCGGTCCTGCTCGGCGACGAGATGGGGCTCGGCAAGACCGCGCAGGCCGTGAGCATGCTGCGCGCCCTTTCAGAGCTGCACGGCGAGCCGCCACACGCCTCCTCCTCGCGGCGGCGCCGCGCCCCACGGATGCAGCTGTGAGTAGGCGAGACGCACGGCCCCTTCCTCATCGTCGCGCCGCTCTCGACGCTGCCGCACTGGAAGCGCGAGGTGGCGGCGTGGGCCCGGCTGCACGCAGTCCTCTTCCACGGCAACAAGGCGGCTCGCGACGCGCTCGTCCGCTTCGAGTGGGCGGTGCCGCCGCCGGGCTGCCGCTGGCCGTCGCACGAGCCGACCGGCAAGCAAGGCGCGCCGCTCGGCTGGTGCGGCACGCCGCGCTTCGACGTGTGCATCACGTCGTACGAGATGCTCGTCGCGTGCGCCGAGATCTTCCGCTCCGTCGAGCGCTGGGCGTACGTCGTGGTGGACGAGGCTCCCCTCCGGAGGGCGCCGAGGCTCGCCCACGGCACGCGGCGAGGAGCGGGCTCACGCCCCGTAGGCGCACCGGCTGAAGAACCGGGGCTCGCGCGCGAGCGAGGCCCTCCGCTCGCTCTGCGCGCCGCACAAGCTGCTGCTCACCGGCACGCCGCTGCAGAACCACGTCGGCGAGCTGTGGGCGATGCTCAACGTGCTCGACCCGGCCCGCTTCGACGACGCCGACCGCTTCCTCGCCTCGTACGGCGACCTGCAGTCGGCCGAGCAGGTACGCGCGCTGACGGAGCTGCTGCGGCCGTACCTGCTGCGCCGGACAAAGCGCGACGTCGACCTCGGCCTCGTCCCGATGGAGGAGACGCTGCTCCACGTCGAGATCACCGCCTACCAAAAGACGTGCTACCGCGCGATCCTCGAGCAGAACCGGTCGCTCCTGCTGCGCGGCGCGGACGCGCGGACCGGCCCCTCCTTCCTCAACATGCACATGCAGCTCCGGCACGTCTGCAACCACCCCTTTCTGCTGCGCGGCGTCGTGCAGGCCGAGGGGCTCGAGGCCGCCAGCGACGCCGAGTACGCCGAGCGCCTCGTCGCGGCGTCCGGCAAGTTGGCGCGTACCCTCCCCCGCCCTCCCGCCTCTGCGCGGCGCCCCACCCCGCTCCCTCGCCCAGACCCGGACCCCCTCGCGCCTCCCGGCAGCGGCACGCCCTCTTTCGCCGACTCGAGCCCGCGCCCCTCCCTCCTCGAGTCTCGCCCCTCGCCCTCTTCGCCGCAGGTGCTTCTCGACAAGCTCCTGCCCTCGCTGCGCGCGCAAGGCCACCGCGTGCTCCTCTTCTCGCAGTTTCGGATGCTGCTCGACTTGCTCGAGGTGCCCCGCGCGCCCCCGCCGACGGCGCGGCTGCACCCGCGCCGCGCCACCCCTGACCGCTCCTTTGCTGCGCCCGGCCCAGGACTACGTCGCGCACCGCGGCTTCAGCCACGAGCGGCTCGACGGCGGCGTGACCGGCGAGCGCAGGCAGGCGGCCATCGACCGCTTTTGCGCGCCCGGCTCAAACACCTTCCTCTTCCTCCTCGGCACCAAGGCGGGCGGCGTCGGCATCAACCTGACCGCCGCCGACACGGTGATCCTCTTCGACCCCGACTGGAACCCGCAGAACGACGTGCAGGCGCAGGCGCGCTGCCACCGGATCGGCCAGACCAAGCCGGTGCGGGTCTACCGGCTCGTGACGCGAGACACATACGAGGACCAGCTCTACCGCTCCGCCAACAAGAAGCTGGGGCTCGAGCAGGCCATCATCGGCCGCGCAAACTACCATGCCGAGCAAGGCGGCGACGAGGCGGCAGCCAGCGCGCCGGGAGGCAAGCTCGATGCGACAGAGATCGAGGCGCTGCTCAAGCACGGCGCTCAGCGGCTCTTCTCGGAGGAGCACGACGAGAAGATTGCCAGCTTCAACGCCGCCTCTATCGAGTCCATCCTGCAGACGCACGCAACCACCACCACCACCGCTGACGCCGACCACAGAAATGGCGGCGGCGGCGGCGGCGGAGAGGCCTCCGTCTTTGCGAGCGCCACCTTCGTGGCGCACGACGGCGACGCCGCCCTCGACCTGCACGACCCGCACTTCTGGTCCAAGGTGCTCGGCGAGGACGCTGAGGCGGACCTCGGCGGCGAGGACGACGAGTTTGCGGACGAGGAGGACACCTACCGCATGACGGAGAGCGGCGGCGTGTCGCGGTACTCGCGGCGGGCGGCTGGGCCCCCGCGGAGGCTCTCGGCGAATGTGCTGCCTCCGCCGCCCGAGGAGGACGCGTCCAAGGCGGCGCAGGCAGGCCCTCCGTGGACCAAGGCGCAGCTGTCGGCGGTGCTCAGCGGGCTGCACACGCTGGGGTATGGCCGCCCCGCCGAGCTGCGCGCTGCAGCGAGCGCGACGCTCGGCGGCCGCGACGATGCAGAGGTGGCCGCCGTTGTTGACGTGGCCGTGATGGTAGCGTTGGCGTGCGTGCGCGAGCAGGCGTGGACGAGCGCCCCGTCGCCGCGCCAAGCTCCAGCTGACGTCGCCCCCCCGCCACCCCCTGTCCTTGCCCACAGGCGGAGCAGGACGGCGCCTTCGACGCCGAGGGCGCCGCCGCCGAGTGGGAGGCCTCGCGGCACCGGCTGTGGCACTTTCTGCAGCGCGGAGCGCCGCCTGCAGCGGGTGCCACGCCCGCGCCCCCCCCCGAGCCTGCAATGCGCGTCCCCACCTCTCTCGAGGGCTGGTTCTCCACCCGCATCGCCTCGCGGGCAGCGAACCTGCTCGCCGCCCTGCTCGACCTGCGCCGGCTGCGCACCGCGATCGAGGCGGCCGGGGTGGGGGGAGTGCCGGCAGCCGAAGGTGGTGGAGTAGAGGTGGGCGCCTTCCACGCGCCCGTGCTCCCGGCGCGGCTCCAGAAGCCAGCGATCCTCGGTCCGGTGGTGCCTGGCGCGGCTGGTGCCGACGTGGCCGACGAGGCTGCCGATGGCGCGGACGCCGCCGCGCCGACACTGGCCGACGAGGCCGCCGACGGCGCGGCGGCGGCGCGCATCTGGGGCGAGGCGGAGGATACGGACCTCTTGCTGGGTGTGCATGCGCATGGCATCGGATCGTGGGGAGCCATGCTCGCCGACGGCTCGTTGCGGTCGCTCCACGGCCTGACGCTGCTCAGCGAAGGCGGACGCGAGGCGGGAGGCGAGGCGGGCTCCTTGGGCGCCACTTCAAGCGGCGGCCCAGAGGCGGCGCACGACAGCTCCTCGGCCGGAGCCGTCGAGCCGCGCCAGCTGCGCAACCGCCTCCGCCATCTTCTGGCCGCGCTGCCGGTCCTCGCGGCGGCAGCCACTGCAGAGGGCGACAGCCCGTCGCAGCGCGAAAACGCCAGCCCGCACGGCGCAGGGGAGGGCGGTGAGGATGCGCCGTGCGCGCTCCAGCGCGCCGGCGCCGCCACCGCGGCGGAGAGGTTCGTGCTGAGCCTGTACCCCGCCGGCTGCGAGCGGCCAGCGCCAGCCAAGGTCGGCATGAGCGGCGGCGGCGGTGGCGGAGGCGGCGGCGGAGGCGGCGGCGGTCGGCGAGACTCGGCCGGAGCGGCAGGTCGGAGGGCGGAGCGCGAGGCGCGAGCGGCTGAGAAGGCGGCCGAGCGAGCCGAGAAGGCGGCTGCGAGGGAGGAGGAGGCGCGGCGGCGCGCGGCCGAGCGCGAGGCGCGCGAGGCGGCGCGGGTGCGCTCGGTGGTGACAACGGTGCTGTCCGAGCTTTGCCAGCGCGCCGCTGTCCGCCACGTGCGCGCCGAGGAGGCGGTGCGGCGCGAGGCGGCGCGCGCTGCGGAGCAGGTGGAGAAAGCCGCGGCCGCCGCAGCGAAGCGAGCGGCAGCCGAGGAGCGCGCGCGGCGGATTGAGGCCGAGAAGGAGGAGGCACGGGTGAAGAGGCAGCAGGAGAAGGAGGCGCGCGAGGCGGAGCGGACGCGCGAGGCAGCTCTCAAGCACATGCGGGGCGTCAAGGCGGCGGCCGAGCGGCGGGCAGTGTACGTTGACCTGCGCGTCGCCCAGAGCGAGGACGGGCAGTTCGTGCCTCGCCTCTCGTTCCGCTTCCCGGACGCGCCGACGGTGGTCGCGACCAAGCTGCGCGACGGCATGGTGAGGGAGCCACCCCACCCGCGCGCTGCTCTCGGCGCTCGCTCCTCGCCCACCCCCGTCCCTCCCCGCCGCAGGACCGGCTCATGGCAGAGTACGACTACCGCGGCGACGGCGTCAAGTTCAGCAAGAACCACAGGTGGTGCCAGCTCATGGACGGCATCGTCCTCGAGCTGCAGACCTCGATCGGGGAGGCGTACGCCGTGCGCGCCTCTGTCGGATGCGGCGGGTGGGCGCGCGTCCCCTGGATTGCCGTCGCGGCGCCGCAGCAGTCGACGCAGCACGGGCTCTACTTGCAGCTCCTCTTCGCGGCGGACATGTCGGCCGCGCACTTGTGCCTCGGCCAGGGCACGTCGAAGCTCAAGGCGGCCCTCGGCCAGCTCGCCGCTGGCGCGCACCTGGCCGAGGTGGGCCGGTACGTGCGTCGGCGCTGCGCCGAGCTCGAGCTGCTGGCCGACGGCGGCTTCGACTTGAGCGGCGAGATTGACCTGCGCGCGGGAAAGACAGGCCTCGCCGCCGACTACGCCAAGGGGAGTATCGTCAGCCTGCGGCTCGGCGCCGGAGAGCTGCCGCCCGAGGCCGAGCTCCACGCATCGCTGCACGCGCTGCTTCGCGCCTATGACGTGAGTGCCGCACGCGCTCTCCCTCCATTGCGCACACCGGCCGTGCTGATGACCCGGCGCGCGCGTGGTCAGGTGATTCTCGCCGACGAGGGCTACTTGACGCTCACGCAGCCAGTGAATGAGCAGCTGGCGAGCAGCAAGCCCGACGGGCGCAAGTCCATGGGCGGCGGCGCCGGCGCCAAGCGGCCACGCAAGAGCTTTGGCGGCGACGGCGAGTACGAGGAGCCCTCCTACACGCCGTCGGGGTCGTCCTCTCGCCCGCACTCGAAGCGGCCTCGCGTCGCCGTCTCTCACGGAGAGTCGGACGGCGGCTCGGGCGACGAGTCGGACGAGGAGGCGGGCGGCGACGAGGCGAGAGCTGGCGGGGCGGCCGAGACGGCAAGCGCTGCGGCCGCCCCTCCGCAGCCGGGCGCTCCGCGGCGGGTGCGGCCACCGCTGGACTCGTTCATCGAGGTGCTGGTGAATGGAGAGGACGCACCGGCGGGCTGCGAGGTGGACGAGCGCGGCGAGGCGTGGGTCCTCTTCCAGGTCTCCTGGCTGCCGCCTGGACGCTCTCCTTCGTTCAACGCCATCAACCCGCGCGAGCTGACGTGGCTCGACACGCTGCACACCACCGAAGAGGGCGCGGGGTGGCGCCGGCTGAGCCGTCCCCCCCCGCCGGATCGCGGCATCGCGCTCTTTGCGCGGCTCGCGACGCGGCTGCCGCCCAGCAAGGCCGACACCCGCCGGCTCGTCAGCCTCGGCTTCGAACCGCCCTACGACCTGGACAAGGTTGCACTCCGCCTCTTTGCTGACGACAGCGCGCTGCTGGCAGAGGCGCGGAGGCTGGTGGAGTCGCTCGAGTGAGCTCGTCGGCCGGAGAGCGATACCGCCTCGTGCTCTTCCTCTGCTGAAAGGGCGGGGCTGCTGTCTGCTCCGCGCGCTGTGGCCGCGACGTGCCGGGTACCGCCTTGGAGGAACTCAAGCTGGACTCTGCTCTCTCGACTCTCGGAGGTCTCTGTGCGGTCTGGACTCCCCACAACACTCCACGAGACTCCCCACACTCGCAAGTCTCGATCTCTCATGTCAAAGCAACAAGGCCCCCAGAGGCGTCTTTTTCTCGGTGACAGTACTACTCAAGGAATAGTGAACGTGTTCCTCCGTCCTCCATGCTTGGAGGTGTGTAACACTGACTTAAAGCCGTACACCGCATCAACGATCAAGAAAAAGGGGGGGTATATAGTATTCACAATACAAGCGTTGATTACACGGATCAAGCGGTGTAATGATGGTGTTTTTTTCTGAATGGACAGCGGCACAGGGTGCTCGTGCGCGCGAGCCGCGAGCGAGCCTGCAGGTTCGTCGAGGAGCGACTCTCACCGGACACCGCCGTCACATGTGCGGGAAAGCTTTTAATAAAATGATATACCGAGCCCACGTGAAAACGATGTCGCTATTAATCCACATGAAAGACTGGCACAGAACTCGTCGAATGATCAGAGATATAGGAGGCTGCGGTTGGAGGACTGCCGTTTGCAGCGGGGTGTGGTGGCGGCGGCTCCACCTGTGGCAGCTGCGGGTTCGGCGGCGGCGGCGGGTTCGGCGGGTTCGGCGGGTTCGGCGGGTTCGGCGGGTTCGGCGGCGGCGGCGGCGGAGCCAGTGGCAGCGGATGTGTGGTTATGGTTGCCTTAGACGACGGCGCTGGCGAGCCTGCCTCAGGGGCGGTGGATGTCGGCGTCTTTGGAGGCGTCGCGGCCTTTCCCTCTGAACTGGCGACGCGGGCGAAAAAGGCGGCGAGCAAATCTAGCAGCATGCCGCCGGCCGAAAGGGAGCTGCGCGGCGCGGCGGCGACCGGCACACCTGCGCGGGATGTCGGCGTGCCGCTCTCTGCGGTGGGCGGCGCCGGGTCCAGCTGCGCCTCGAGCTGCGGCAACAGCTGCTCCGCCGCGGTGAGCAGCAGCTTTGCGCCCGCGGCTGCGTCGGCGCCGCGGCCGAAGAGAGGCAGCAGCTTCGGCGCCCCGCGGCCAGGAGAGGCGTCGGCATCGGGCGGCTGCACGCC